TTCTTTTGTAGCAGGCCTGTTTAGTTTACAACGAAACGCATACAATCACCAAGAAATTAGTCAGGGCAAAGAAAAATAAAACAAGAACCTCTTTATAGGGATTTCTAAAAAAAAAAAAAAAAAAAATCTATCTGTCTTATCTATCTATCTAATCTATCTATATACCTATATATATAAAATGACTGTTCCTTATAATGTTTAACTTAGGCATTGTTTCAGTTTGTCTGGGCCACATCACGGGGAATTTGAGTTTGATGTCACTTACCTCGAGTCCTCTGGTCGAGACCCAAATCGGAGTCGCTGTTGACCTGTTTTCCCATTTCGTACCTTGCCCTTGGGCTCGCTTTCCCTCGAAGACGCAGACCTCGGGGGGTGGGGGGGACGCACACGTTCCTTTTTTTATTCCTTTATCCCTTCGTCCCGCTGTAGCTTCGTTTGACCTGTCGTTCCCGTCATTTTCTTGGCGTGGGGAAGTGACATCACTACTCTCGTTTCCCTTAAATCAAGGAACATTTAGAAACCTTTCACACCTTTTACTCAGGGATGGGGCTGGCATATGTGTGGTACACTGATGTGACCAGAAGCAGCACTTTTACTGCTCCGGAGTAGGGATGTACAATGTTACAGACAAGTTTGGATTTCCTGCATCTCGTGGTTTAAACTTTGTAGATCTCGCTTAGATTGCAATACAAAAGCAGCAGGCTCAGCGCGAACTGTAGCTGTTGGTTGTCATGAAAATTCACTCTCTGCAGAGATTTATTTTACTTTAAAGTGTGTTGCCAATAGCAAAAAGGAAACGGTGAAATTCTGTTAATACTTGCAACTGCTAAAAAAAAAAAAAAAAAAGCCTGAATCAAGGAGAGCGAATCCTCAATATTTTAAAACACTAATAGTGTTATTTCAAAGCGGGGGGCTCTTGGCACGGGGCTCTGTGTGTCCTGGGGCCCGGTTCTGCAAACACTTATACACGTGCTTACGGGAGGTCCGGGCTGGCCGGTGAGGGCTGCTCGGGAGCTTGCTGGGAAGCACATGTATAAATCTTTGTGAAACTGAAGCTCGGTTCAGTCAGGGCCAGATCCTGGCCTTAATCAGGCAGCTGGAAAGATCTTGGGGTTCATCCAGGTTCGCCAGGGCAGAAGCCCTGGGCGGATGGGGGGGGATTTTGGCCCGTTGAAGCACTTCTGCTGTCCCGGGAACTCGACAAATGGCAAAATGGGACATGCACTCGTACAAATAATTCCCGTTTCTTCCCTCCCCATCATCACAAGTAGCAGCAGAGCCTGCTCTGGGCTCTGGCCGGTGCTGATGTGAAAAGCAAGGGGAATGAACGCACCACCAGAGTGCAGGCAGTAATTTCCTTTCCTCTGGTTTATCCAACCCTCCCCCCCCCCCCCCCCCAAATCCTGAAAATACGTAGTAAATGAGAATTTGTTGATGCAGATACGCATACGTGCACACACACCCCCCAGACAGAAGTGTCTGTTTGCACACGAGTAAGTATGTGTGGATTTTTTTTACGCGTATGCCTACATGTCCACTTGATTCCCTGTCCTGAGGACAGCCTTGCTTTGTGTCAATAGGGAAATTCCAAACGCGTTGCACACCTCTACTCCAGAGTTCAATTTCTTTTACATAGACGACCTCGCTTCAGATGTGTTACCTTTACTGATAGGATCTTTTCTTGTAGCACTATACCTTGTGGGAATATTTTTTGATGTAAACCTAATTTGAGAAGCTTATTAAAAATAGAAACTTTTTTTGAAGCACTCACATTGAGGAGTACAGGTAATGTTTTAAAAAATTGCACAAAAGAAAAATGAATGTTGGAATGATTCATTCAGTGTTTGAAAAAGAGATGGCTCTGTTTGAACAGTGAGTTTCATACCTTGTTTGTAAAAAAAAAAAAAAGTTTTTAAATACAAAAGCAGAGAAAGGTTGAAAGTTACATGTTTTTTGTATATAGAAAATGTCATGTCTAGATGATCTGATTTGTATTGGCTTTGGCCAGGAAGAATTATTACTTAAAAGGCTCTTAAAGAACAACTGTGCTTAATTTTCTGTTCGTATTACATGGGTCCCATTTCTGGGGAATGGAGTCATGCTTCACACTGTTTATTTTTGTGCTGAAAATACACCTTGGAGCAGCAATTCTCGAGTGCAGCTACCGGGCACTTCAAAGGGTGGCTACTGTGCAAAACTAGAGTCTCACTCTCCAGCTGTATTTTGGCTTTAAGCCTCTCCTGCCTGCGCCGAGGGAGCCCCTGGCAGCCCACAGGGCAAGGCCGCTTTTGAGGGAGGCCTCGGCCATCCCCTTCGCAGGCAGGGCCGGGCCGGCCCCGGGTGTCGGGGCGCTGCCGGGGCCGGGGCCGGCAGCGCCGCAGCAGCCCTCGGGTGGCGAGCCGCTGCCGGCTGAGCGCGACCTGCTTAGTTCCCGCCTGAAGCCTTTCGGTCCCGTCTTTTTCCTCTCTCCGGGATGCTGCTCCACGTTTTTTCAGCACTTCCTGTTCCAGACGAAACCCAAAGAGTATAACCCTGAGCAAGAAGTGCTTATAACAAGGGATCCTAGCCCAGCACTAGCAGCAGAGTGATACCCAAGGCGACCCGGCCTTTCAGCCCCTGTCACTGCCCCCTCTCCCCCACCTCTGCTTTCAGAGCCGCCGGGGAGCAGTTAGTCACACAGAGCACGTTTCCAGCGATGGTCTTGACCGATGGCGAAACCGGTGTTTTTCAGAAGCCAAAAGGAGAGGATGCTGAAGCAGTTTCTGAGGAGAGGGCCCTTTTCCTGTCCAAAGATTGAGCTGGGCAGCTGGGAGCCGCCGGCGGGGCGGAGCGGAGCGGGTGAAGTTTCAGGCTGCTCCCGTTCCCCTCCCCGGAGGTAACCCAAGCTTCGGCTCCCGCAGGCACACGGGGCAGAAATACTCGCCCTGTCCAAGTGACCCCCGGGGCGCTCAGAAAACCGGCCCCAGTTGTGTTACAATGAAGTGCATTCAGCCAACAGGTAGTATTTATACAATAACAGTCTCTAAGGTTTCTGTAGTTTTTTTCTTGTCGTTAGCTGAAAGGACTCAAGTCTTCCACTGAGGATTTTACGGAGGCTTCATCCAAGGTTGTTTCTTTTTTGTTCGTTTCTATTTTGAGCGGTCAAAGCTCCTGTGCCCTTTCCCTCGACCACGCAGTAGGTATGCATTGGAAGTGTTGTTTGCAGCGAGCGTTAGTCACTCGTTGAAGCCGTCGTGGCTGTACTACGGGATTGCTGACGAGCAGAAACTTCAGGGCCCGGATCCTCGGCCGGCGTGGAGCGCCGGCTCCCCGGGCAGTGCCGCTCTGCCCCTTCACGCCAGCCGGCGAGGGGATCCCGCCCTGGCGTTTGCTTTAAAAATCCAGGGCCCACGTACTCTCCCTTTGAACACGCTCTGCAGAACTCCTGTCCAAGTCAGTCGGGTTTGGATCTCTGTAGCTGAGGGCAAACGGGGGCCAGGGGCGGCTGCGGGTGGCTCAGTCTGTCTTCTGCCTGGCCGTCGGGCTGGCCTCTGAGCGAAGTTACTAATCTGTTAAGGCATAGATACAACTCTTCACGACAGTCAGCTAATGTTGAAACTCACTAATGTATGTATTTGCTCTTTTTTTTTTTTTTTTTTTTTTTTTTTTTTTTTTTTTTTTTTTTTTTTTTTTTTTTTTTTTTTTTTTTTTTTTTTTTTTTTTTAAATCGTCTGGTATTACTAATGAGGGTTGTTGTAATGAGGGTTGTTGCAAATCACACTTCCAGTGTAGTTCCTAGTGTAGGCCCAGTAAAAGGGATATCGCAGCTTTGTGTTGGGGGGAAATCGAGCTGACATGGCCAGTACAAAGGAGAAATAGGGAGGGAATAACGTTTTGCACCTTATTGAAAAGAGGAGAAGATTTTAAGTGCATACAGACATAGTTAAGAGCTTTTATTGTGACAGGAGAACTTTTTTCCATATGCGTGCATACTCTCTGTAATTCCATTGTAAAATATTGTACTTGCACTAGCTTTTTTAAAACAAATATTAAAAAAAATGGAAGAATTCATATTCTATTTTCTAATGGTGGTGTGTCTATTTGTAGGATACACTCGCGTCTGTTTATTGAATTTTATGGTCCCTTTCTTTGATGGTGCTTGCAGGTTTTCTAGGTAGAAATTATTTCATTATTATAATAAAACAATGTTTGATTCAAAATTTGAACAAAATTGTTTTAAAGAAATTGTCTGTATACCAGTACAAGTTTATTGTTTCAGTATACTCGTACTAATAAAATAACAGTGCCAATTGCAAATGCGTGTTCTGTCTTTATGCGTTACGACTGAATGTGAGAGAGCTTTCCTAGGGGAGTAATTTGCCCAATTTAACACCCCCCCATCGGCAATGCATTTCAGAGCGTTTGCTTTTATTCGCCACGGCGCAGAAACGCGCACGTACCCATCCATGGCCATAAAACCCTCTCCAGACCATCAGAGTGAAGCTCTTTATTGAGTAACAAAAACCTTCCATTTACAACTTTTGAACACTTAAAATGATCGTGCCGCATGCGCCAGAGGCGTTGCGCACAGGCGGTTGCTACACACGAGGGGAGGCAGTGCTCCTCGCTGCCATCTCAGCTGGGCCAGCTGGGGCAGGGAAACATGGAACGCTCATCAGCTCTTGTCGGCCGATTACGCAGAAGCGCTTCACAGTTATTGCAAGCAACACCAAGGAGTTTTGGACTCTGAATTACTTATTTCTGTATGAAAACTTCAACCAGTAAACATTGTGTCAAGTAAACGCTGGGGAGGGCTCGCTTAAACATCTGAATGACCACAAGCGAAGCGAAGGCTGCAGGGGCGGGTGGTCCATGCTGTGTTTAGAGGCGCAGAGCTGTGCCGGCATCTACCCGAGACTCGCTTTCGCCCCTCCGCCCCCAGGCAGCTCCCAGCCCGCAGGGAAGGGCCCGGCCCTCTCCTGCCTGCTGGCTCTGGCTGCTGCGGAAAGCGAACTGCTGTTCTCGGGCCTTGGCTTTTGGTTTTTTCTCTCTTCTACACAAGCAAGGCCAAACCTGGCACTTGTTACAAAAGCCCTCCTGGCTCCAGCGGAGAACTCTTGATATAAAACTGGTAATAGCAACTAAAAAGCAACATCCCCCGGGTGGAGGGGTGGGAGGCGGTGATGGACAGACACTGTACCTACACTGGCAGAAAGCTGTAGCAGCAGGTCTGTTCAAGATGGTGGAGCTCAACAGGTGTCAACGAGGGAGTGCTTAGTTCAGAAAAGGCTTCAAACACAATGTGTCCGTGACTGGAAAACACCAGCCCCCTGTCCCAACACAGTGGGGCTTGGCTAACCGCTGCCGTGTTTCTCGCTCACCTCCATCCTTTCTCCCCCTGCTATTGACTAGCTGAAAGGAAGACAGAGGCATGCTTTGTATGGGAAAAGCTCCTCCAAGTGTAAGCAGAGGCTTCTCCTGCCCCTGCTGACAACTTTTCATGTTTACAGGGTGGCCCCATCCTACATTCAACTCCCCCCATGCCCTAAGGTGAGAAGAAAGCTGCACAGAAGAGCACAGCCAAAGCCCCTCCCCCATGGCCGATGGGGGCGAGCCGGCTGTGCCAATAAGCCCGGGCCGGGGCCAGGGGGGAGGCATGCACTCGCTAGGTGTGCGCACTTGTTTCTTTCAGAGAAAGGAGACCTGTGTGGCTTGGTTTGCATCTGGCAGGATGCTGGCTCAAGACCCACTCCTCTAACAGGCTGGCCTCCCGCCTACGAGGGGTCTACACGTGCGCTCCCCCCAGCCACCACATAGTCACTCAGGCGTAAGCGAGGCTGCTGCTGTGCCAAGACCTTCCTCCCCGGGGAGAGTTCAGGTAAGCCAGGCTGCGTGGGTAGGAGGGCCAACCAGCCCACCCTGCGAAACATGCTGCAGCAAGGCGACTCCAGAATGAGACTGGGAGCAGCGGGGGTGTTCTACGTGTCCTTATGTTTCAAGAAGCCAGAGATGGACACGCTCAGCAGGGATTGCTTTAATGATGTAATGTTGCCCTTTTCAGCATCCCTGCTTGTAAGTCTTTGGTATGTTAAACTAAATCACTGCAGAACCAGTGGGCCGAACCTCAACATTGCTCTTAGGTGCTCTACAGTTGCCTGGCTGGGGGAAGCAGGTATGACCTTGGCCTACAGCGCAGGTTAGCACATTCACAGTGTTCCTCTAGACAGGATGGGGTTGGGGTGGTAGGGTTAAAGAAGACCAGGTTATGCACAATCACCCAACACTAAGCGCTTATGAATGACACTTCCCACAGAAGGACACCAAGTAACAGAGAACCCGGTTGAACGTGCAGGTGAGGTAGATCCACAAATGGTACGTGGCATGTATCAGTAGTTGTGGTCTCTGCTTGGACCATCCTGCCAGGCATAGCGCGCCCTCAACTCCCTCTCTGCCCCCAGTTCCTTGTGACAGTGGTAGCGGGCTTGAGCAGGGCACAGGACCTGCGGCTAAGTGAAGGTAAGGGCAACTACTAGAGCACAGGACTGGGTCTTCAAGGAGGGCTCGAGCTCATCTTTTTTCCATTTTCCAGCCTGTCTGAGAGCTGGACATGTACTGTGTAGATGGTGAGCGCTGACATAGTTGAGGGTTATCCCTGAACAAAACCCGCATGTAATGCTGGGTGAGATGCAGACGTGCCACCAGTTCAGCCTTTCTGCAGCCGATTTCTCTCTCCCGCTCACTTTGGAGAGAGAAGGAGAAAACACGCTGCTTATCAAAATGATGGTAAGAGCTGCTATTTAGAAAACCAAATACCCTAAGTCAAAGCTTTATCAGTAACTATTCTTAGTGTCGATGTCATTCACAGCCTGGAGAATTCGGGGGACAACTTAAAATCGGCCTATCCCCATCCTTTCCTGTTAGTCACTGGTCAGTCAGAGGTATGTGTGAAAGGGGAAGGAAAACGGGTGTTAAGAGTGGCCCCAGACCAGGCTGGCTGTCTAAGTGTGCAGCCTGCCCAGGGAGGAGGCTCCATGCTTGCCACACCCGTGGAGAGGCAGCCCCCCCTTGTCCCCAGCGCCTGCCCTTTGGAAAAGAAACTGTTCCAAAGACATGCCATGAAGCTGCTCTGTTCAGTGTGCGTATGATCTTTTTAAAAAAATGTTTACAAATATATTTTTTTTAATATATGTATTTCTTAAATTCCATTTAGAAATGTAGCTAAAAAAAGTAGAAAAGCGCTAGCGAGAGTAGGCGTGAGACCAGCAGACTGCTGCACTTCCCACGTACGAAGGCACGAGTGTGGAGACGCACCTGTGGTCAGGCCTGCAACATGATGGTCTAACCCTACTCCTCACGGAGGTGTCCATCTGCCTTTGCACCCCTACCCTTCACACCACGTAAATAAAGGAACGGTGACCTCCTACAGCCGTACTGATGCGGAGTAGTAATACTGCCTGTATTACTAATACCCTGGGCTCGGTGCAGGCAAGAGCAGTATTTGGCCTGCAGTAGGATTTGTGATAAAGAAGCCTGGCATCTTCTTAACATGATGCTTTCAGGCTGGAGGGATTAGAGATCAGATCCTTTATTCACAGGGCCTGCTGCTCGTCTGTGTTCAGGTACCTTTATGATACGTGGTCAGGACAAATGGTCCTTAAAGCCAGCGCAAGCATAACCTGTGCTCACATTAAGGCCCTAATTCACCTCCAAAGCAGAGGAAGGGGTCATACCACAATTAAGAATTATGTCCTACATGATAAATGGAAGACATTTAGAATGCCAGGCTATTTGGAAGATACTCTGTGATTTTTCTAAAGTGCACAACACACTTCAAAATCACCAGGGATCAGCCTGTGGCCTAGATTTGCTCCTCAGCGCGGCCAATTGTACCAATCCTTGTGCACGGCTTTCTGAGCAGTCCAGCATATGAGCTTAATTCTAGAGTTTCTCTTTGCTATTCCTCTTCCCACAGATCACTCTCTCGCTTTTCAAAGGAAGCCTGCCTCTTTCTACAGATATCTACAGGAGGGGAAAGTAAGACTCTGAAGTACTGATGTAACATCAGCTGTATTACAATCTCAGCAGCACTTTAAAGTAAGTGGCCAAGCATTATTAATTCATTGGTGCTCACTTTTACATCATTTATCATAACGAGCTACTGTGGTATTCATGTGGATGCAATGTGTATTTCCAAAGAAATTTCATTGTGATTTATCAATTAATTAGCGGGCCGTTACACTTTATTAAAGTGTTACCCAGAGTCTTAAACATTCATTACTGCCTTCAGAGCAAATGCTTTAACTCCATCTCAGCCTACCAGTGTCTTGCAATCAGGCTATCCTGCCGAAAGCTCCCATTTGCTTTTCACGGTGTCAAGGACTGCAGAGGAGTGGTACCAAACAACCAAAAGTGAATTTGATCCCTCTGGCCTCATTCACCTGGCCACAGACAATGCACGTCACAGCATTTTTATGTCTTTGCTAAATGGATATGAGCAGGCAAGGGAACAGGGAGGGCTGCAGAGAAACCTCTCCTTGGTGGGGTTACCGTTGCTGAATTTCAGTGTCTTAAAAATCTGTTCACAGAGAGCAGGTAAAAGCAGGAACCCAGGTAACTCAATAACTGCATGCACAAAAAAGCAGGCAAGCTCCGAGACGTTTTCTCCTGAATGATCTCCACAGATGCGGGCAGGGGGGACAGCACGGGTTTGCAACATTCAATGCCAGCTTCTCTGGAGAGGCAAGTCCATTGAATAGGGAGATTGAAGTAAGAATGGCAGTACCAGCTCTGTGAGCTGAGAGTGAAAGAGATCTGGCATTTTTATCATCACAGTAAGAAGTCACCAGTAACCAGGCCTCATCCACCTCTGACAGTCTGCAGGCTGGCAGCTGTGCCACAAACATCCATTCTTTTGCCAGAACAAAGATTAAGAGAATTTGATTTTTGATTTCTCCATGCAATTCCTTGCATCTTCTTCTCTCCCAGCCTGCAGTTTCTGGAGGGTGCGCTGCCAGAAGCAGTGGTAGCTGACAGGTCAGTCTTAAAAAAAGGGAATGTGTGTATGTGTGCAGGCATAACAGCCATGTCTGTACAAGCCAATTCCTTGTTAATTGAGGTTTCAGCAGCTATTTATCAGAGGGGGGAAAAAAACAGGTGAAGAAATGTTGATTAAAAAATAAAATAGGCACAACAATAAAAGATGAGGCTATTGCATTTTGAACCAATGGCACTGTGTTAACAGCACGACCTTCCCCTTCCAAATCCTAGCCATAGCCCCTCCAATGGCTATGACACTGCCATTCTGAGAGAGAGGAGAGTTTGCCACTAACACAACATGGAGGAGAAAGCAAAACAAAACAGCAGCCCTCCCTGCTCCTCTCCCCCACCCCTCTCTCTCCAGCCTCCCAGTCCTGGGCTAAGAGAAGACCTGGCTATGCTGCTGGGTGACCCGGATAAATGTTGTTCTCCTGCTCAGTTCCTTGAGTTTGGCAGCTCCCACGTAGGTGCAGGTGGAGCGCAGCCCCCCAAGGATGTCCAGGATGGTGAGTTCCACATCCCCTCTGTACGGTACCTCCACAGTTCTGCCCTCCGAAGCCCTGGAGGAGAGATCGGTTACTGCATTTATGTCTAGATGCAAAACATAATAGTGTGTTTACTGGAGCAATGTGGAGCTTAATACTCTGCATGCTGCAGTTTACAAACGTTGCCCCCAGCTTTACTGCTTCCTTGCCTGCTGCTGCTTGGTGCTCTCAAGCACTGAAATGCCTCAACTCCAGTTACCACCAATACTGGGAACTAGAAGCAGACAAATCTTGTAGATGCCCCAATAACCCATGAGTGTATTTACAGATCTGCCCCTTCCTCCCCTCCACCAGCTGCCTACAAGCAAGTGAAGCTTCCAGGTTTATTGAAAGGTAAATTTGACCTTGAGAGTTGCAAGCTTTAAAGTATAAGGAATGGCCAGGCTCAGGCAACTTACAGGAATGTTGGAGCTGGTTCTCAGCAGCCACCATTCAGCACAGCTCTACAGAGGCTTCACAGCCCCTGGGCTCTGTCCCATGTCACTGACCAGATGCAGATGGAAATGCTCTGGCTATCTCCTACCAGTCTGATTCTCCAGAGCCCACAGAGATGGAGTGGGAAACCTGTTACGGAAACCTGCTGCAGAGCTGTCCCCTGAAGCTAAAAGGTGAGCTAGCACAGTCAGAGCCAGGGAAAAAAGCCAGAAAAAAGAGCAGTGCTGTGAATACTGTCAAGTACGGGCGCATGCCAGCACAGACTGCACTGTTCCCAAAAGCACATCTGAAGAGTTACATGATGGAAGAATCCAGGCAAGTAACTTTTACTCCTTCCCCTTCAGCTTTCTCCAGCCTCATGCTCAGCAATTCCTCCTGCAGTGGAGTTCCCCGATCACCAGCTGATCTCACCAGGCTTTAGAGCAAGCTTGTTCTGAATGCCACACTAGATCCTTTGCAGAGGTAGGCCTTGGGAAGGGGGGGTCTAAGAGAAATGCAGAGGGGAGTGGGGATTGCTCTCCTTCTCCCCTACAAAATGGAGGCAGAAATCGCGGCAGGGATCTGTCATTGTTGTAAATGTGGCTTTATTTACTTCTCCCTTAAATGAGTTGTCTAGGGGATAGTGCAAGAAAGAAAGGGCATGCCTGTTTGGAGGCTCCATTTGCAAATCATTAACAGCAGCAACAGCGGCTATGTGGAGGTACTTCAGTGTGAGCCTGGCTATATTTCATTCTGCTAGTTTAAATGTGTGGTCAAAGCCCTAGGGAGACAATAAAGGAGAAGTGTTAATATGCCATATGAATAAGGAACCATGATTAATCTCCCTACATCTGATGAGTAATTGACTCTTTCTTGAAACTCTTAAATAAACACTGTAATAAGCGGCCAATGGAAAATGTATGTACCACTGCCATCCAGCAGACTGCACGGGGCTCAGTGGGGTGTTGTAGGGCCTGTGCTGCTGGGAGTTCACAGGCTTTTATTTTCAGCTCCAGCATGAGCAGGAAGGGAAGGTCTGGCCCACAAAATGACACAAAAGTAGTCATGCTACCATTCTGCAGCTCGGTTTTCAGCCATGCCCACCTCTTCCAGTCAAATTCGGGAGGTTCAGCTCGGCCTCTGGGGAGCTTCCCACAAGATTGTGAGAGACAACGCATGTCTGGGATTTGGGGAAACCAGTGCAAATTTTACCTACTCTGCAGATCCTGCCATCTGAAGAGCTTTGCATGCGGTATTGGGCAAGAAATGCAGGGTTTACTGCATTCATGCATGACTGCCCATTCAGTTCACGCATGAGAGTCCAATTAATTTATGCATGAATGCCCCATCAGTTCAAACATGAGTGCCCTGTTGATTCATGCTTGAGCATCATGTGGGGCGTAAATTGCAGGGTTTTGATAGCAGAGAGCTGATTGCAAACAAAGGCAGCCCCAGTTACAGCGGTTCAACAGACCTGCAGAGATGGGAACATTGCTCCCGAGAGCGCAAACACTTGGTGGTCCTTTTTGCAGAGCAAAATTACAGAAATGTGGGACACTTACAGCCACTGCCCCTGGGAGGTGCCCCTGCAGCGGCTATGGTGGTGTTAGGAAGCTGGAGCTTGTGGGATGCCACTTTTGGCTTTGGAGACGAAAACCTACAAAAGTGGTGAACACCTAACATCACAGCCCCAAAGCTCTGACAGCTAGACAGTTGCTATTGCTCCTCTAGTATCAGCTGATAAGCTGGTGGGATGTCGTGTTGATCAAGTGGTAACCTACGGATACCGTACTGGGGGAAGCATGCTGGAAGAGAGCTGTGAGATTAGCTCCACTGAAAATGCCGAGAGTCCAGTTTTATGTTCATCCTTGGAAAAAAGTGTCAAAAAGGGCTGAAAATTCTCCATGCTCCCACCCTACGTGCTGGGAATAACAAGATGTTCCAGAGAAAAGGAGGAGCATAGGATGGAAGTGGGACAGAAATCTAGAGCTGTGAGATAAGCAACTGCAAGCACAGCAAAAAGGTGAGAGCTTACTTAATGTTGTTACGGCTGTGGAGCAAGCCCCAAGAGAGCGAAGCTGTTTGTTTAGTGTGTCATCTTACTCCTCAAATGGGGAAATGCCCATGCTGCTGCATGTGAACACTGTTCACGCCCCCCATTTTGGATGTAAATGAAACCCTACAGCTACTGAACTCATGACCCTATTGGTACCTTCAACAGTGCTGTTAATTTTTGCTTGTACGATCTTAATCATATGCTTCTATGCTAAAGCACAGTTGAGTAACTTGAACTGCCCTTATGTTCTTGGTTGTTTGTTTTGAAGGGACAAGTCCTAAACTTTGTAGCAAGTATTCAGATTGCGATGATGTTAACCCTGATAGGGGTCCATAGGGGCGAGGGGTGGAGTTTGTAATGGGTATATATTCAAACTGTCGGGGCTTTCTTGGGTATGTGTTTTGCAGAAACAAAGTGTGAAGTTTGTAATAAGCATGTGCTCAGACTGTTGTTAATATTAACCTCCATAGTCTTGTGCACAGGGATGGGGGGTGAAGTTTGTGATGAGTATATATTCAGGCTGTGTTAATGCTAACCCCAATACTCTAGTCCCCAGGGGAAAGGGGGAGAGTTTGTAACAGGTAACATGTTGCCCAGACCACGCTGATGAGTCCTGTCATCTGGTTCCAGGGGAGAGTGGGTGGAATGTTAGTAAGCGTATTCACACGTTGTTGCACTATTAACCGCTGTAGTCTGGTGCAGGGGTGGGGTCTGTGATGGTATATAACCAAACTGTGATGTTCGTTAAAGGTGGTAAAGCACCACCTTTAACGTGGTGCTCGGGATGGAGGAGTGACATTTTAGTAAGTGTACTGTTACAGTATTAATCCCTACTGTCTGGTCCAAAGGGTGGAAGAGTGGAGTTTATAACTGATGTACATTAAGATTGTGATGATGTTGAAAGAGTTCATAATGGATTAACATTCAAAGAGTTCTTCGATATGTGCCTTGCAGAGGTGAGGAGTGCCATACAGGCCATAAATTGCTGGGCTTGCTGCGTTCTTGTGTGAGTGCCAAATCAGTTCATGCATGAGCTGAATAAGTTAATGCATGTGTCCAATTAATTTATGCATGAATGCCCAAATAATTTATGTCCAAGCACCCTATTAGTACATGCATGAGCACCCAATTTGTTAATGCATGAGCACCCAGTTAATTTACACGAGCACCCAATTGTTACACACAGGGGTGCTGTGTTGGGCATATATGGTAGTGTTTGGGTAGCAAGGGCTGCCGGTGTGACCTGTGTGGGAGAAGGCCACGATCTGCTTCATGCCAGTCACAGAGATGGTTCCACCTGGCTCTGAAAATGGTGTGAGCCACCAAACCTTCAGCCAGTCAGGGGAGCACATGACACCTCTGCTCAAGTGTATTTAAGAAACAGCAGCAGCCACTGGAAGAGGAGACACACCTGGACACGCCTGAGGAGACATGCAGCTGGAGAAGCACTCTTGAAAGGAGGTGCTCCATGCCAAAGGTGTGCACTCCCAAAGGGACTGTAGTCCCTGGGTGACCATGCCAGAGCAGAGACAGCCGCAAAGGGACTGTAGCCTGTGGATGACCCACGATGGAGCAGGCACAGTAAGAAGGAGGAGAGGCAGACAGAAACCATTACACACATGACCAGAACATCCTGTGCCACCCCTTTCCTCACTGAAGGAGTTGGGACAGACTGAGTGTGACCTGTGATGAAAGTAAGGGGAGTTGAGACATGGGGGGGTGAGGAGAGGTGTCTGGCTTAAGTGGAGTCTGGAAAAGGGGGAGGAAAGGTGTTTACTTACGTGTTTGTTTAATTACCCAACAGTGATTAGAAGTTTGTGTTAGTTGGCAATAAATGAAGCGAAGTAAAAAATCCCCAAGTTAAGACTTTTGCCAGCAACAAATGCCTGCGCAGAGGCCATGCATGGATTCCAAGGGGTGTCACAAAAGCTGGCACACTTGGCAGAGAGCTGCATAAGCACATCAGCAGGAACTGCTGAGGGATTTGCAGCTCTGACATCTCTCCCGGAGTTATGACCTGAAACTAACCCTTTCTCAGAAAAGAAAGGTGAAGATGGAGCAAGTGGGACTCCCAACAGCTGGGAAAGGTGTGCTCAGGTGCTCTCAGTAGAGACTCTATGTCTCTCGCTAGCCCCGGAATGGTGAATAGAAAGGGAGAACTATTTGCTTTAGACTTTTTGCACAGGGTCCAATCTGCGGTGCGCCCCATAACGCCCAGCCAGCTCAAGCCTGCTACTGGCATGAAGGGATGCGCATGGTGGGTGGGAATCCTGGCAGGGTGGATAGGGTGAAACACATGTGATGGTGCTCTGTCAGCCCAGCAAAATGTGGGTTGGGATAAAGGGGTCAGGCTGCCCCAGCAAGAGGTAACTTTACGAGTGGAGCATTTAAGAAATGGCAGGAATTGGGGGCAGGTCTTTCAGGCTATCATTTGGGATACAGAAAAAGACAGTAAGTAGCAGCCAGCTGCTGGTGCTATTCTGTCTCTGTGTCCCAAATTCCACTCTACAGTTAGTATAAAGTGCCAAAACCCAGCTTAGTAGCA